AACAGTCTATTCTCCATAGCAACATATCCGACAAATGTGACTTATTCCTGCCGGTAACACAGCCCACGATATTCTTCAATATCCTGATATATGTAAACAGCTGACACTTTTTTAACAGAGAAAGAAAATGTAAGGATGAGGTTAAAAGTCTTAGTTGGAAATTACTCATTCAAGTGATTCTGATAGGAGGAAAATGTCCATTTAAGAAGCATTGTATGGGACCTCACACAATCACCATCAACAACTTAGATCATTCCCTTCAATTTATCAACACCATTATAAAAATATCAATTATAAAATTCATTCTAGGACACAGTCCATAACACTGTTCAACACCCCTTATGTAAAGCCCAGTTTCTAGACTTCCAGAATTTGATAATGACAAATTTTTCTAAGATGACAGTCATCCACTTTTCCAGTAATGATAGATATTAAAAAAAAAAAGTATGCCCATGTTAACCTAGACTGGCTGAAGGGTTGGAATGACCGCATTATTCTAAATATCTATTTTCTTTCTTTCTGTCTGCCTGGTTTTCAATCTTATCTTTGATATTTACTGCCTGGGTGATTTATTCATTTATTTATTCAACTTTCTGCATGGTCAATAAGACCCACCTTTTATGGTTATTCTGAAACCTGCATAAGACAACACAAGTGAAGTAATTAGAAAAGAGTCTACTGTTTATTGCTAATGAATAGTCATAGTAATGCCTATTTTATTTGGAAGCTTTTTATGGTAAAGCTGCCTTCAATTTTTACCCCCAAATTTTAAAGGATTTATTAAATACTATCTTTACAGTGACAATGTGATGCAATGATATAACAATATATTAACTTCAATATCTTCAATACATGCTCACAAGTATGTTAAAGAAAGGAATTTCTGGAGTGTAATATGAATTTTAAATTTAATTTAGTAAGCAGAGTCTGTCTTAATTGCTTATGGCAAGATCTGTAGCAGTTAGAACACTGGTTTACACAATGATGGTATTTTTCTAGTTGCGATTAAATAACACACAACATAAAAAGCAACCATCTTAACCATTTTTTAGTATGCATTTGATTAGTGTTCAACCAATTCACATCTTTGCTCAACAAATATCTAGAACTTTGTGCAACAAATATTTTGCAAAACAGAAATTATCATTCAGTAACTCCCTACTTTCCCCATGGCTCTAGTCCCTGCCAATCACTATTCTGTCTTCTGACTACAGATGGGTCTGATTACAGATACCTCATATTAGAGTTATACAGTACTGGTCTTTTGTGACTAGTTCATTTCACTTTGTATAATGCTGTCTAGGTGTATCCATTTTATAGCATGTTACAGCATTTTCTTCTTTTTCAAAGCTAAATAATATCCCATCCACAACATTTTGTATATATCAGAGTTTATTTACCCAGTTTATCCATCAGTGGATATTTAGATTGCTTCTACCTCTCAGGTAAAATGAGTAATGCTGCAAAGCACACAGGTATGCAAATATCTATTCAAACTCCTGATGTCTTTTTTCCCCCTTCTGAACACACCCACACCCACACATACACACACCTGTGAGTGGGATCACTGTGTCACATGGTAATTCTACATTTTTTGTTGTTGAGGATCCTCCATACTGTCTTCTATATTATATTACTACCCACAGGGAACAGGTTCTGATTTCTTTATATCTTCATCAAAACTTGGTTTTTTGTTTGAGATTTATTTTTAGTGGCTATCATAATTAGTCTGAGATGACAAAACACTGAATTTAATCAGTATTTGCTCATGTCCAGATATAATGCAGACAAGTACAGATAAAGAGGCACAGAATAACAGAAAAAGAGTAAGGGAAAGAAAGAAGACTCACAAATCAGGTTTGTACTAAATATCTATCTCAACGACAGACGGAAGGAACTGCCGAACTGCCGGATCTCCTTGAGCTGGGGACAAAAGACGAGGGAAATATGAGCCAAGGAAAACTCACTGAATAGAACACCTAACCTGGATCTTATGGGAAATAAGGCATTCTGACAAACAGGGAAGGACATTCAAAATGTATGGAATAGTAGATTCAAGGAGATATAATATAGACAATCAAGACTCATTTGGGAGAGAAAAGTATAAAATGAATATACACTGTAAGAGGTTACTAAGAAATGCAGCTATAAAAGCAAACTAAAGTCACATAAGTTTTCAACTACTTGGAGTAAATACCAAGAAGCAAGACTGCTGGATTTTATCATTAAAGTACGTTTGGTTTTATAAGAAACTTCCAAACTGCCTTTCAAAGTGGTGGTTTCATTTGCATTCCCACCAGCAGTGAAAGAGAATTCCTGTTGCTTCCCACTCTCTGGTCTTTGGTGGTATCAGTTTGCTGGATTTTGGCCATTTGGATAGGTGGCTAGTCATATATTGTAACTGTTTTATTTCTCAATTCTCTAACGGCATATGTTGTTTAACAGCTTTTGATTATGCTTACTTGCCATCCTTTCTTCATCTTTGGTGAGGTGTTCAGATCTCTCCCCATTTTTAAATTAGGTTGTTCATTTTCCTATTGTCGAGTTTTAAGAGATCTTTGTATATTTGGGATACTAGTCCTTTCATTAGGTAGATGTTTTGCAAATATTTTCTCTAAGGTGATTTGTATCTTCATTCTCTTAACAGTGTCTTTTGGAAAGCAGATGTTTTAATAAAGTACAACTTAACAATAAGCCATATCAACTATATTAAGAGGGCTAGACTGTATCCATGAAATGGTTTTAAGCCAGGATGTGCCAAAATTGGATATGCATTCCTGAAAACTCACCATTAGCAAGGTGAAGAGTAGATCAAGTAGGCTCAGTTACCCTACTTAGGAGGTGACAAATACAGCCAAGGCAAGAGATGACAGGTGTCTATTATAAAGCAATAAATGTGGAGAAAGAGAACAAAGAAAGGAATGTTAGATGGTGGAAGACGCCTGCTGACCCGCAGTGGAAGGAGCTGAGGAGGCAGAAGGCAGACACCTACAACTAGAACCACTTTTTGGCGAACAACTGAAATTTAAGAGAAACAGGATAGATTTGCTTTTAGACAGCTGAGTATATGTGCAATAGATAGCTACATATATGAGCCTGAGATTAGACACATATATGGGCGTTATCAAAATAAATAGTAAATCCATTAATTACTACTTTCTTATATAAATCTATATTCCAGAAATATCAGATGTCTCAATGTATATCCTGTTTCTGCTAAAAGAGCATGTTATTCTACCTATTTTACAGCACACTGGATTGCCTCCCATTTTTTACAATAATTAAATGCTCCTGTGAATCTACCAATGTGTACTTTCAGGAAAAGTGAATGAATACAGCCAAATTCCCATTACTTTCTCATTTGCAGCTTTGAGAGCTGACAGAAGGCACATGGATTGGGAACAATAAGACCACCTTATTATTGAAAGCCTAAAAAGAGCCCTCATTTACTTTTCTGAATTTGTAATAAGTTATTTCTTCTAAGAAAGTATAACAGAGTTCCAACAAGAATACTCATACCCTATTCAGCAGGCAGGCATGCAATTTAAGTGTCTTTAGTCTAAATATGGAACTAAACCACAAATTGGGTTATCAAGGATTTAAAACAAGTTAAGCTGGGAGAATTTAATTTATAAATAATTATCATCCTTAGTACCCTGTATTTCATTAGCAAGACATATAAATACAAACAAAATTAGCATGTGGGCAAAGAACATAATTTAAAACCTATCTGCATCTACTGAATGCTCTGTTCTATGACCTATGACAGGAATGTGAGAGGTCACTAAGAAACTCCTTTCACTGTGGCCGAGTGCTCTGGGCACCCTCCTTTACAGCAAGCCTGTCCACAGACCTAACCTAACAGACTAGAAAGTTCCACTCTAGGGTATTTATTACCCTGGAACACACCTTCACCTTTCAGTCCTGTACCTAGTTATCTTCTCCTCCAGAGCTAGTCCAAAGAATCAGAAAGTAAAGCAGGAATAAAAAGTGAAGGTATCCTCCCCAAAATTCCCATGCTAAAAAATAATCCCATTGAGACAGTATTTGGTGTGGGGCCACCATAAAGTAACCACAGAAAGTTCCTTCACTCCTCCCGCTCCCCCACAGATGACACCACTGCAAGGACACAAGACAGTTGTCCTATGAACCAAGAAGCCAGTCATCAATAAAGCTGCTGGCACTTTAGTGTTGGGCTTCCCAGTGTGCAGAGTTGTGAGAAATACAAGTCTGTTGTTCAGAAGTCACTCAGTCTGCAGTACATTGTTAGAGTAGCCCCAGTGGACTAAGAAAGAAGGCTACAGGTTAACTCTGGGTTTTGGTAACCCTGGGTAGTATTTCCCTCTTTAATTTGAATATTAATGAAACTGAGATGCTCTGGAGTTCCCTGGAATAAGCATTAAGCCCCAGACTGCCCCCAAACTCCTCAGTGACCTGAGAAACTCCTGGCACAGAAGAGCTCTCCATACTCCTGAAGTCAGATAGGTGGTCACAGGATTCTGGATGCTTAAATATACCACCTGAATGAGCTGGGGCCTCCTTTTTTGGCCCCCAGATAAGCTGTATAATAGATCCTCACCCACACTGCCACCACAGTTTGTGCAGCAAGACAACTGTCTCTTCCGCACTTTCAGACAAAGTCAGGACTCCGGACATTCTTCCCACTGCGTGCCCACCCCTGCCCTGCAGGCATGCTGAACTCCTAGCATGCAGATAAACTCAAGAAGAAAAAAAACAACATAAAATATTTTTAATCATTTTTCAATCTCTTACAATGAACAGAGAACAAGACATTCCATTCTAACTATTTGTGATGTAAGTGGAAAAGCAGGTACACACCGAGCAATGGCAAAGAGCTACAGGTGGTTCTCACAGCACAAGTTTTCAGTCTTCACCAACAAACACAAGATGTCATATAGTCTTATGTTTGTCATAACATACAATAAGCTGGAAGAGCAAACAGTATTTTTCTAAGAAGATATAAACTTGAAATCACTTACTTTCTGCTCAGGGCTTTCCTGAAACAAAAGTCCAAAGTAGTCCTTCTCCAGGAGATTGAGATGTTCACATACTTTGTCAAATAACACTTGCCCCTTAGCACGTTTCTGCGGGAAAAAAAAAACAGTCTGTTCACTTTTCAAGCACTGCAGAGTCCACGAGTGTTCTATAAATAAAGGGCATCATATCATGAACACTACTTAGCAGAAGTTAATATCAAATGTTTTCCAATCCTGTTAAAACAATACAAAAAGTGATTAACAATTTTTTCATTTTAGATTCCCCCTCCCGACACAGAGACCTAAATTTCATTCTAAAATGAAAACATTACCAGAGAAGGTGCCAACTTGCTACTGCCACTCCACGTAAATATAAGAATGAAGAAGTATAATGCTAGGTATTCATGTATTTAAAAAAAAAAAAACAGTATAAAATATATACCCAAACTGCATCCTTCAAACCTCAGGGTAGTTCATGGCTATCTACAAAGCACACTCCCAAGAAAGTCATTTAACTCTACTCAGTGTACCCTAACTCACTGGATCCCATCAGAACTTAAAAGTCTATATTTCATCCGTGACCTCTGTAGAACAGAAATATTTTTTTCAACTCAACTTCACATTTTCGAGATAATGATATAGCATTTATGTTTTAGGAGAAAGTACAAAAGACTGAGAGGTAATGGAACTAGGGCATTACATCACATGCCTCTAAGGACTTAACATGCTTTTTTGTCATAGTTTGTTGTGTTTTCTTCTTTAACCTAATAAGCTGCTATCAATAGAGATGTAAAAGTCTTTGACAACCATAGAAGAAAAGCTCATTGCCTAATCAATGGCAAAACCGAGCGATGACTCATGTCCAATTAAGATGCACACCCCTGGAAATGCCCCCACTGTGAGGTCAGGTCGCCTCCTCCACTGCCCTTGGAAGTGACCATTGGACTCAGTGAAATGTGGACAGGCCACGGATGTTTCATCCTCAACCCGTAAGTCCTCACACTAGCAGAGGGTGGGCTCACTTGCTTATTTAGTATGACAATAAATGCCCCCCCACACATATAACTAAAAATGGAATAAATTCTATGGTGATGGCACATGGGTGTTTTGGTGATGGGAAAGCCCAAGGGGATTGCAACTGAGATGGAAAAATGCACAAAAATATGTAAAGATAAACTATTATAAAATTTAAAAAAAGGAATAAACTAAGATTTTAATTTCAAGTAAATACAACTCTGATCAGGGAGCTTTCTGAAGATAATCTTCATAGAAACTTAATTCTAAGTGCTCACTTCTCTTTTCTACCCCTTTCTTCTTTCCTTTGTGAGAAAAAGGCGAAAAACTTTACACAGGAGATTCTGGTCTTTTATTTAATCTTTATAGTAACATTTCTTTAGGGAAAAAATTCGTCAAATCATAGATGAAGACTTCAGTAGAATTCTTAGACAATATTAGAATAATGTACGGCATGTAGTAAAGTGCTTGATCAGCACTGGCTTTTTTTTTTTTTTTTAAAAGATTTATTTATTTATTTGTACAGAACTGGGGTACAGGCCAGAGATGCGGAGGGTGAGAGGATTCACCAGAGACAGAGCGGGAAGCAGAACAGGCAGATTGACGAAGTACACTGCTGAGGGGAGCAGCGGGCGGGTCAGGAGAGGTCTGCCTCGCCATGTGGTCGCCTCCGGGGCAGGCGGGAATCGAACTCATGCGGAAGTGGCTTTAGTTTCTTAGTGCAGTGCTTTAACCCGCTGCGCCACCAGGGAGGGCCCCAGCACTGGCTTTTAATGTTAGAAAGTGGAGAATTTTATAACATGACAAATGAGCAATATCACATATATCACACATATAAAATTTCCCTTTAAGCTTTTAAAATGAAAAGCATTAAATTTTACTATCTGCTCCGCATGCAATTAATATACTATATAATTCAAAATTTAAGTGTGTAGGTAAATAAATTTTACACGCAGTTGAATCAAACCATGATGGCTACTTTCTTACATATGCACTAAAAATAAAAAGCCCACTCTCTTCTTCATCAGAGTCCAGAGTAGACATAAGGAGATTTGGTTACAACTAATAACAAAGAACATTTTAAAAAGTAATCACCTGCATAATGTAGAATTCAATAGCTTTGTTCACCCCAAATTTCCAGTGAATAGGGAAATGCCCAGTAAAATACGTATTGAAGAAATACTTTCAAAAAACTGAAAAACCAGTATTTCTGTACACTCAACATGACATTTAACCTACTCACACTCATACTGACTAATCATATAGTTATAATTTCAGCACCCACTTTGTAATTAGGGACATTCCTTATCTGAGATAACAAAGAGAGCAATTACAGCTTCTACCACATCCATCTACTTGGATATCACCCAAAATATACTTACGAGGGATACATGAGTAATGTACTCCACTATAAAGAAAAGATTATCTTCTTATTCAGAAAGACACCAAGAACTCATTGGAAGCTTATATAAGAAGCTGAGCTTTAATTAGATACAGTTACAAATCTCATTTGCCACTGCTATGAAACTTTGGCTTATAAATGACAACCATTTAAAAAAAATAACTATTGAACTAGAAATCATGAAATAACATGTTACAGTGAAAAGGAGAATATTATTTGAAATTAGGCTAAAAAGGGATATTAAAAACAACTCCTAGCTAAAGTACACACCAATTCAAAGAAAACACATTCCAATCTTGGCTTAAAGTTACTTTTTATTAATAAACTGTACTTTCTCACTGGTTTCCATCTCAAAAATAGAAATATGTTCTCACAGGCAGAATTCCCCTAGCAGATTAAGAGAAAAACATTACAAGGCTCACCACCACAATCTGGTATTGGCGTGTGAGGCAGCACAGAACCAACGTGGGGGCTGTCCCTCCTTCACTGGAGGCTTGGTAAGACCTCTGTATTACTAGGCAAGAGTGATGAGGGTCCAACCACTTGAGATCATAGCTACCTCACAGCTCACACTGAAGGTCAACTAAACCCAGCAAGACAGTAAACTTCAAAGTGCCAAACCCAAGTGTGTAGATCACAGCTGAGTTCTGTTTCCAGATGTTCCCTCACTAGCCCACATCTAATACCAAAGTGTTTTCTAGATGCTTGGATTGCTTCTTTACTTTTATTTCCTTTCTCCTCTCCAGGAAACAGAGATGATACTTGATAAGATCCTTCCTATACACAAGTTACAAATTTCCACTTAGTCATCTCCAACCTGAATGAACTCAGTATCTGGCTGGAAAGTCAAAAATGCAACAGTATGGGGTGTCACATTCTGAGGGATGAATGTACAAAGTATGACAAGAACCCTAAGAATGTAATGAGTAACTGAGAAAAATCGTAGCTTTCCCAAGACTGTGTCCATATGTATCTTAAAAGGGGATATAAAGGCAGACAAAGCAGCATATTGAGGAGAACTTATTTTCACTTTGGATCTATAGAGTCTGACAGAGATAATTTCTAGTCACAAGATACCAAAAGTAGTACAAGCACAGAGGGAAAGACAGTGTAAAGGTGAAGTGAAAGACTGTGGAAAAGCAGAAGTCAGGGGTATCCGAGGACAGACCTGAATTTGCCCAAGGATGTTCCTTAACATGCTGCACATATTCCCAACAGGGAAGCAGAATGGGACAAGGAAAATCCTGCCTACTGTACACCACTACTGAAGTCTCAAAACTCCTACTGTATATAAGCACCAGACACATTCTATGGAGAAGAAAAATCTGCTTCCCAACATTCAATCTGCTGGTTCTCAAAATTATTTGCCTAAACAATGCAAAGCTTACTAACATTGCTTCAGAAGAATGTGCACAAGTATCAAAGAATTAAGTAGAGCAAAGTGGCCATGAATGACCTGCCCTTCATGCAGATTTGGAGACTAACTATTCACAGTGTTTTTTTGACTCAAAAATGTCAAAAGAGATTTCATTGTAAACTAGTCCAGAACAGGATGTGCTCAGCTGTCTAGCAGAAAACAATGGTTCCCTAAAATGCCAACAAATATAAAATCATCAAAGTACACAAGGAAACTGGTCACTGGAAACTGGTCACTCTTACTCAGTACTAGATGCAATATCAGAATCAGATTATCTACTACCAAACACAAAATAAGTGTACTTCATATGTTTAAAGAAACACTGATCTAAGATATCAAGGAAAAGTAACTATCAAAAGCAGATTCTGATAATAATAGCATACAACACCAAGAAATAAAAAACCAAATGGATGGAGTTTGACACAACTAAAGAGAGAACCAGTTCACTGGAAGATAGTTCTGAAGAAAACTACTCAGAGTGCAACACAGAAAGAGACGGAAAAGAGAATAAGGATTTCAACATATACACATAATAAACACATACATATGCAAATAAAAAGAGGAAGTCGACATGTGGTATATAGATAGATAGATATCACCATAATTCTACATGAAGGGAGAGGTAAAATTAAAAACATAGCTGATAAGTGCTAACTACTCATATTAAGGAAACCCAATGGAGCTCTAGTCATATAAAAGCAAATCCATTTATAATTTATGCCATTATTATTTATATCACTAGCATTCAAAAGACTGACATGCATTATTTTAAATAGTAGATGTAACAAAAACATCAAGACAAGAGAAGAAACATGAGCTAGGGAATAACAAGGATGGAAGAAAAAAAAGCACAACAGAATCCCAAAGAAGTCACCCGTAAGAAATCCAAAACTGATCTGCTTTTGGCATCTGACACAAAACGGCAAACAAAACAGGATACTTAACCTCACACAGAAAAATCACATTATCAAGTTAGTACAGTTCAGAAACATTAACCTACGAGCAAACTAGTCTGGCTATGCAGGAGAGCAGCACAACCAGTGGCTCACCACGCATTTGACTTCACGCAGCTCACAGCGGCAGTGCACACAAATGTGTGGGGTGTGCCAGCTGAAAAATGTGTCACCCCCCAATTCTGGTATGCACCACCACCTTTCATATGAATTACCGATGCTCAGGGGAGAAAGGTGCTCTGCAGTCAAGCCCACAGCATGGTGTGCGTGCTAGCCTGCACAGCTAGCTGTCTGGTATCTCAGGTGAGTTACTCGTTTCTCT